ACCGACGTATTATTCTGGCTGTATTCCTTCCTTTCTATTCCTGTCTTCATTCCTCCATCATCAGGCAGCATTTGTTCCACAGACCGCCTCTCCGTATTTCCCCACACTGTTGTCGTACGTCCAATCCTTCCGAAACCAGTTTTACCATTACTTCCAGTTCTAGTGACATGCATTTTCAATGCATCCTCCATCCTCCATAAATTCGTCGGTGACCTTGTCCGGTTTGTGTTCCTTTCACACTGTGTTTTCGTTCTGATCCCCACCATTTTCATTGTCTACCCATGTACTTACACCGTTATTGTACATATGCTCGCTCTGATCATGTGATCATGCCTTGTGCATGTATCACGGGCTCCGTGAAATATACACCTATTATTATCAAGCTTGCAATCCTTTCTCACTTGGAAACTCGACGTCGGAACTCAGCGTCGGCAGTAGTCTGTTTGTGCGTTCTACCCGAGCTAGTTCTTGGCATATTGCGGAATCAAGCGCTAGGCAGGAAGAAATAATACTAAGCAAGCGAAAATAACGGCTAAAGTAGTCAGTCAATATGGTACTCGCCTAAACAGTGAAAAGTGTACTGAAAAATAGTTGGCTCACCAATATTTTCAGTACAGTCAACTACAGATCCCTCGAGCTTTCCTTCAATGTATCCCCGCTGTGAGGTTGTTTGAGTCGTTGTTCCCTGGTGCGTATTTGCGACTTCGGGCAGAAATATCTTTCGATATTGCCTCTTCCTCTATTTTGGCTTCAATTTAATGCAGAATCCGCGCTATCCCTTCGTTTATTTTGCGTCGACTGCAGAAGCAGGTCGCTCCACTCTAATTTCGAACCGCGCGCGCGCGTTAGGTCAGGTCAGGTATGAAAGAGTGAAAGAAGAGTTGCAGGGACAAAAGTCATCCCGGAACAGAGCACCCGTCGGTCAAGAGAGATTTGGCATACTCGGCACACTCTTTAGCTCGGAGGGGAAAACGTTACCCCTTGGCATTGCGCTCAGGGTTCACATGGTATTTTAACCATCAGATGCAGTGTAAAAACACGTATCTCTTTTTTGGGGCAGTATAGCGTATGCTGTAGTAGTTCAATCATATGAACCATTTATACTTGGTTCTTCTCCTGCTTGCAGGGCTGGTTTGCGATTGAGCGCCACCGTTTGCTCCTGTAACTCGTATGATTTAGGGTGCGTATTACTGTACCATCCCTAGGAGTCGTCGTCGTCTATCTCTCTCAGTTAGGGGTGTGATGTTTTCCTTCGGATCGTCCCGTATAAATTGATCGATAAAGATGTAGGGTTTCTTGATGAAATCGAGAAGGAAGAGAGGAAAAGTCGAATAGTGCAGAGGATAAGTGAGAATGGTGAAAACTTGTAAACGTGTAAACAGCCTCATTCATCCTCTCTGAAGCCCTTCTTCCAGTTATCTAATCCACCTGCACTCAAGTACTGATTCTGAGCGGGTGTCCGCCTGAGCCATTTGCCCGCCTACCCTGTATAATAGGGATTTTGTGGTTGCTGCACAACTGAACAGTCCACTGTTTGTCCAACAGGGTCATTCAGATCTTTTCCAGTACACACAAGTGTATACACACGAACGTGCATGTATGTATGTATTCGTCCTGTTTGGGACTGTTTATGTAGATTCCGGAAAAAGTTCAGTCCGCACTGCATCTAGACGGCCCTTAAACGCCCCATCTGAGGCTGATGAAACAACCGAGGCAGGTAACTTATTCTAAGGGTTTATAACCCTATGAGTGAAGAGAGTCACCCAGATACTCCTTAGTGCTCTCGGTTTTTCAAGCTTCAGTCCATTTCCTCGCGGAGCGAGGTTATTTTTCCTCTACGTACGCATTCGTCTTTCAGTTCCCATTGATCGTCCATTCACGTGAAACAGCTGTTCGTGACAGACACTGATTAATACTCCACCAATCCGTTTTATCCATGCGCCAGCTTGACCTTATTGTCGGTCATCGTTTAATCGATTGATGTACACTCACGAGCATTCATAAAATCGTTAACCCGATTCCAAACCGCACGCTATCTTGTGCGTTCTGATTTTTGTGTTGGGTTACTGTGCATAGCAACGCGGTTAGAACGCGGTACTAACATTATTGAAATGTTGCATTTACCTTCATCATTGTGGTGCTCAGTCTCAGAAAAGCCATCATTTTCCACATGGAATCGATGGAAAAGGACATTCATGGACTACGTTGAATTGTTTCCTTTGCTCCATCCACAAGCAGTCTTTACCGATTCACCGATTTACACAAAATCAAACTCTTTCGTCAATTCCTTGATGATGAAGACCAGCATCATTTCGAAGCATTGCATATTGGTGACAGCACTTTGGACAAAGTACTCAATACATTCCGTGAAATTTGGAGTTCTCTACCCAGCGCATACACTGTTAGATACAGCTTTCCTAAACTGCATCAAACCGCAGAAGAAAACACAAACGATTTCATTGCAAGAATTCAACAATCGCTACCGGTATGATGAGATACCGAGTAGCAACATATAGGAAGAAATGGCGATTCATGGCCTAATAAGTGGAATACGGAGCAATCTAGCTCGCGAGAAATTACTATTGGAAGAAGAATCTAAACTCATCTGGGAAAGGACATGTGCTATTGTTCGACATCAAGAGAACATTACCAATCAATTAAATCAGTTTTCCAAAGATTCAAACCCAAACAACGTGCACGCGGTGACGCGGAAAATCCTCTCATTAACTAAACGCTCGATCAAAGAGTTTGTTTGTTACCGCTGCGGAATTAAACATGCACCGGCCAAAGATTGTTTACTCAGAATAACTCCGGGTTTCTTTTGTTGCATTATTCCTGCTGCAGAAACAATGGGGATGACGCCCCGCTGGGAGTGATGAACTGTATCATCGGTAACTTTGCTGCACTGTTTGATGTTCTTATTTACTGTAACATCCCTAAATAGCAGAAGGTCCCGGCAGTATGTAATGTAAAATACTACCAGTATAGGTCTAGATTTGGCTGTCTGGTTTTGCCTCCACAACCCAACCCTGTGGCACTTAATATAGGGCGTGTTGGCCGGCATACCTGCCAGTTGGAAAACATCTTGAATGTGTTTGCGATCCACCTCTCGTTGCGCTTTAGCATTGCAAATCTTTGGCTCCGCACAGTTATGTAGCAAGAAGTTTCTCGTTCTACCCAATAGCGCTTTAGTGCTGCGTTTCAGTTCTCGGAAATTTTTTTCCAACTGCTTTATACTAGCAGTCACTTCTATCGACTGTAACAGTTTAACCGTAGCCCCTTTACGTGGTTTTTTCCTTGGTGCTCGTGATTTTCTCCCTTCCATTCTTTTGCTTCATAGTATGTTTAACGTTTGATTTCGCCACCTCCACATGCTTTGTTACTGGTCTCGGCGCGCGAGTATTTGAGGTCTATGATGACTTAGTGGTCACGGCCCTTAACAAGGCTCCTTTCAGAATACGCGAACATTCCTCTACCAGAGCCTCGCAGTGTGTGCATATCCACTTTAATTCTCTATGCTTAAGATGCAGCGCATAACACTGACTCGATATCTTAGAGCACACAGTCACCTACTACTGCGGTTACTACCACCCTCGCCTCGTCACTGCACGTGCAGTCCCAAAATGCGACTCAAGCGTCGTTAGTTGGTACTGCTACTGCTCCCCAAAGTGGACAATTAACGTCATCGAATGCGGCTGCGGCTGCTGCTGCCGTGGCGGCCGCGTCTTATCAGCAAGCGTTTCTAGCTGCGGCGAACGCCTATCCGGGCCAGACACCATATGCGGCATCTCAGCTGACGCAACCATTGCTTGCCTGTAGCACATCAGCTGGTTCGACTGTTGCGACCTTGAGCCCGGCTTCTAATCCCGTGATGTCACAAACTCCGTCCCAACAATCTGGACAGCAGCCCTCAACCACCGTCTATCTCAACCCAATGACCACAGTCACGGCTGCCGCTGCTATGCAGCAGTATCCGAACGCGGCCAACATGACTCGTCCGACAACTGGGGTTCCGGTCCCGATGGGTAACTTGGCTGCGGCGGTTGCTGCAGGCAACTATCCTCAACTAGCACAGAACTGTGCAACTTCGGTGGCTAATCACAATGCGGTCTCGACACCAATGGCTGCCGTTGGTTCACAACTTGTCCCTTTGTCGGATTTGGCCCTGCTCACACAAGGCAATTTGGCTGCTCTGGCACAAGCCAGTAACTCAACACAAGTAACGGATTCCGCGAATGCCACCCTAGTCGGTCTAGGCAATGCGGCCAGTGTGACTACTCCTACCGAGTACTCTAACGGGACCTTAAATGGTGTCCTGGTTTCAGCCACACCATCTTCAACATCTTCCCCATCTAGTTTGGTCAATCTGGGAGCCCCGGTAGTTGCTTCGACAAACGGTGGCACTGTTTTACCCACTGGTGTGATGCACCAAAATGTTTCACTGAACGCGGCAATGGCTGCTGGGCTGCTAACACCCACACCCCGTTTTATGACTCTTTCCGCGTCCACTCCGCCAGCTGCGAGTCCCGCCCTACTTTCACCCATTGTGACGACTGATCCCGCTGCGCTATACGCCGCGGCCGTCGCAGCTGCCGCCGCATTTCAGAATGCCCCAACCCAACACGCACATGCCCAATCAACACCGGCTCAACTGCAATTTCAACAAATATACTCATCATTGGTACAAACAACGGCTGGTCCTAACTGGCACTTGACCACATTGAGCGGTCATTCGCCAACCACACATAATCCGCCTGCCGTGGCTGTGTCCGGCGGTTTAGGATCATATTTCACAGATACCAATGCGGCCCTGAATGCAGCTACACTGGCAGCTGCAGCAGCATCAGCACAATCCCCGGTTGGCGATCCGATGCAGCAACTCTACGATGGCCTGCAAGCATATGGTTTAAGTTATCCGGCAGCGGCAGCCGCCGCTGCAGCCGCCGCAGCGTATCCATCATTCCACAGTCTTCATCATCAAGCACTGTCAATGCCTGTGCATCAAAAGGAAGGCACTCGGGAACTGATATTAACCGGTCCCGAAGGATGTAATTTATTCATATATCACCTACCTCAAGAATTCGGCGATCAGGAACTGGCGCAGATGTTCATGCCGTTTGGAACAGTGATCAGTGCTAAGGTGTATGTCGATAGGGCAACAAACCAAAGCAAGTGTTTCGGCTTTGTCAGTTTCGACAATCAAACAAGTGCACAGAATGCGATTCAAGCAATGAACGGTTTCCAGATAGGACTGAAACGCCTGAAGGTGCAGTCGAAACGACCAAAAGATAATCGTAAACCCTACTGATAGTGTGACCGCGACTGCTGTGCCTGCCATTTGACCCGACTCGCGGATGTCCG